TGGAGGTTTTAGTGTGTACTTGACCAAGTACACAGAATATTCTGCATACTTGCCAAGTACACAGAATATTCTGCATACATGTAGGTACACAGAATATTCTGCATTCAAGTACACACTTAGGTTTCCAGATTATTCCTAGGAACGTATGAGAGAATATTAGACAAGCTGTATAGAGTGGCACCGCCCCCTTCAAACAGCCGCTGGCCGCCGCCCCGCTGCCCGTCGGTCTACTTATACATGAAATAATCCAATGCACTGCGGAATGCGCGGGCCCGACGGGCTGGGGATGGGATGTCAAGGTCACGGCCACATGTGCATAAGAGGCATAAGGCATACATGGGACCGCCCTTCTTTATTCTCTCTTTCCTCGCCCACTCGCTTGTCTTTCTCCGCAGCGCCGGCGTCTCCATGCCTTCCCAAAGCCCGCCCCCGAGGCCGAGCAGGGGATGATGATGTAGGTTGTTTACACGGAGACTGCTGACAACGAGTCGCTGCCCTGACGGCTACATAAAGGACGCGACGCAAGCGAAAGCAGTGTGACAAGGGTGCCTATAGGCGCGCGCGTCTGTGGGCGCGGGAGAAAGAGAGAGAGAGAGAGAGAGAGAGAGAGAGAGAGAGAGAGAGAGAGAGAAGGAGAAGGGAGTTGGATGGAAGGAGGCTGCGGTTTGTGTGTTGTGCGTAGTATCACGTGCACCCCTAGTGTCATCCCCGCGGTCCTATGCGGGGGCCAACACCCGACACTGTCGTCAGCCGACGCCGACGCAACACTGAGACGCCGCCAACGCCGACGATGCCTCCACCATCAATCAATGCAAAGTAACCAAGCCTCTTTGCCTACAGTAAACTGCGTACAGGGCGTCGGGACGTCCAGCGCTGCTTCTTAGATTTCATTCGCAGTCGCACTAGAAAAACGAAGGTAGAAATTCGCACTTTTGCTCGGGTGCTGAGGAAATTTGTGTGCCGCTGTGATCGTGTGATGGCCCTAAAAAGCGAAAGCCGTTAAAATTAGTGCCTCTCAGAGTTTTAGTGTGTGTGTTAAGGCTGTTTCACTGCTTCAACACAGACTCAAGTCATGCCGAATTAACAGTGTGCCAAGCTGTGTACGATGTTCAGTATGTGTGACTACATCCCCTTTGTTTTTCCAGTGCGTGACTAATTACTATTGAAAATTGAAATTCCGATAACCAATGCTTCAAAGCTTGTCAAAAATAAAACCATTTGGAATTTTGTGTGTGTTGGTGTATAGTACCTTTTGAATAAAATGCAGAGTAGTAGAGTAGTTTTGATAATCATCCTCCTGAGCATTCTTTTGCTTTTGCCTTTCACCTCCCCCCTCCGCCTGTCTCTGGTGCCCATCTGCCGGCAAAAGGACTTTTCAGTCAACGAGCAAACAGAAACTCGAAAGAACATTCTCGCCCGAACTCCTGGAAAGAATAGGAAAATAATTGTACCGTTTCTCTTGTCGCCTGCAGTCCGGCCGTTTTAGCAGTTCGCTCCGCCCCGCCCACGCCCCCTTCACCGCCTAAGCGTCGCCAGGCGAATCAAAAGCCTCAATTACTTCTTCAATTAACCAAGTGTTATATCGGCGGCTGGGTTGGCGCGCTGCTGGAGAATAAGATTTACAACAGTGTGCGACTTGGATTTTTTCCTCTTCTTTTTAACTTTGTGGCCCGGTCGATGGCCCCCTGCTGGTGCGGCGGCTGCCCTGCCGCCTTCACTTAACGCCTCTCTCTCTCTCTCTCTCTCTCTCTCTCTCTCACCCTTTATCTTTCTCTCATACTCACAGTCAATCTTAAATATTCCATTCATCGGATTTCTCTCGGAATTACACTCATCCAAACTCTTCTATCTCCAAAGGGCCTTTTGGAGACGCATAAATTCTCCGAGTCTGATCTTCAGGCTGCCGCCAGCCTGGCAGACCTATTATGGGAAGAACTGATCGGACGAGGCGCAGGAGGACACCATCGCAGATTCCATATTTATATAAAAAGTGTTCGACAAGAGTGACTCTGTGGAAAGCATGACATTCAGAATGACGGAATTAATAATGTGACTGACTTATTTGCATCTGTAACAGATGAATAAAAGTGTCTGGCTTTCAAGGCGATATACGAGAACAGATGGATAGATCTAGAAAAGTGTCGGCGACTGCGGTCCGGTAACCAACAAACATAATTTTCTTCGGAATACGGTGCAGTGGGCAGGCGGTAAGCGCCGTGCGGGTAGGCAGTCCGGTGAACAACCGTGCGCCGCTGCATCCGCGATTGCCTACCAGCAGAGGGTCTCTCTCTCTCTCCCTCCCCTCCCTCCACCCTCTCCCCTCCATCCCTCCTCTCGTCCCTCAAGCAAGGGCAATACCCTGCCGCCTAATATTATCGGTTGCGATCGCGTCCGCTCTTCGAGGAATCGCGTCCGCTCCGGGTGTGGGGTAAACATACGGCGTGTGCCAAACGGAGCGACGACCGGCACCCCCCCTAGCCGCCCCCAACACAGGGGAGAGAGAGAGAGAGAGATTGATTTGATTTTTATTCAATGAAATGGTACATTAGAGCTTGAGAGCTTTATAGAGTTGTACCAATTATTAGGTACCTACTAAGAATCCAGTCCAGAAAATAAGGATTACAAATCGAGAGAGAGAGAAAGAGAGAGAGAGAGGGGGGG